AGGAAGAATAAAGAATGATAATTAAAGGACAAAAGTAATAATAAGAGTAGTAGCTTTCAAGCAGACAAAAACAAACAAACTAAAAGAAAGAAAAAAAAAATCTGGACACGGCACAGGTTAGGGCACCCAGGCTCTGGCAGAGCAGATAGACTTTGATGTAATTCCTGCCAGCCTAGATAGAAGGTGGGTGGGAGTGAGGAATGACCTCACCTCTGTTCAACAAGAGAGAGTGTGTGATACAAGAGAAAGAAGGGTAATGTTGCACCTTTCCAGTAGTATGCACATCCAGAATGTCGTTATGGTTCTCAGGAGGCGGAGCCTGTTCTTAAGTCCTTGGAATCTGGGAGAACGCTATCGCTTTAAGTATCCAAAATGTACAAGCCCCTTGTAAATATTCAAATGACTGCGTCCTCCAGACAGGCAGAATTCCACAGATCAGCCTGCCTTCCTCTTCACTACTTCCCCTTTTATTCCCCAGCCAGCAGAGCAGTCCTCTGTGTAGGCCCTGGCTAGGAGGGCTGATTTTTAGCTTAATTCTTAGGCCCTGCCACCACTCAGAAATATCTAAGCTGTCTGTTCCGTCAGGATCGTTGCCAGACTGCAGCTCTGTATTTCTCCTGTTTTGGTATTTTCATGCAAATTCTTCTACTAGTTGGGATTTAGTCCACTTCTGTATCCTTCCCTTCAAAGCTCAGGGGTCCAGGAGTATCTTCTGTATCTCTGTTAATTGGTTCCACTTTGCTTTGTTGAAGAGGGTCTGTGCTGTCTTTCTGCCTGTTTGGGCATCTTCTTGGAACTCCCTTTTTTTTTTTTGTTTTTTTACTTAGTTTTTCTAGTAATAGTTAAGCATTGTGCTAACCTTTGCAAATAGAAAGGTGAGTGAGACTATATTGTAACTTGTCCTATTTCCTGTTCATTTGATTATGTTTGCCTTTGATTGACTTTAAGGAGCTCTGATAGAGTAGTGGTTAAAGGATTTGGCTGCTTACTAAGAGGCTGGTGGGTTAAACCCACCAGGCTCTCTCCATGGGGTAAAGATGAGACAGACCGTATCTGTAAAGATGTACAGCCTTGGAACCCGTAATGGCCATTCTCCTCTGTCCTGTAGAGTCACTGTTGAGTCAGTTTTTGTTTTGATTGACTTTCCTTTGGCCTTTTACTGATAACGAGTGACTGTCTTAGTTTCATTAGATTTACCCTATTCATAAGCCCTGATTTTTTTTCTCCACCTTATAGAAAAGCTGAAATAAATACCTGTTGACCCACTAGTTGGAATCCCTGGGTGAAACAAACAATTTAACTCTTGACTATTAACCAAAAGGTTGGTAGTTTGACCACCACTGAAGTGCAGATCTACTCTGTACATATGGGTTACTGTGAGTTGGACTGTACTTGACACATGTGTTTAAATACTTAGGGTTGAAGTGTCATGACTGGAACTTACTTTCATTTGGTTTAAAGAAAAACAAGATAGATAAAGCAAATGTGTCAAATGTTAAAATTACTGAATCTAACTGGTGCATTAAAAAACCCATTGCTGGGGAGTGTATCCAAGATCATATATAGGGTTGGCAGACAATGGTCCTATAAGTTTATGTGAATGATCAGAATTCCCAGGTGTATAGTAGAGCTGACAAGGGGCAAGGTTGTGGTTACGGCTTGGTCACAGCCAGCTACCCAGAGTGACCGAGTAGTTGAACCTGTGGACTTGGGACCATAGTTGCAGGGGACATCAAGCTCAATTGGCATAACATACTATACAAAACATTGTTCCACTTCCTACTTGGCGAGTAGCGACTGGGATCTTAAAAGCTAGCAAGCTGTCATCTAGATGCAACGATGGGTCTCTCCTCATCAAGAAGAAAGAAGAAAACCAAAATTAATGGAAACAATCAGTCCTAGCAACTGGTACACCATCCAATCTGCAACCTATACAACTATGAGGCCAGAAGAACTAGATGGTGCCCAGCTACCACTGCCATCCACTTGGAAGGGCTGTAGGAGATCTGCATAGAGAGGGAGAACAATGTGGAACAAAACTCAAAATCATTTGGAGGCAAAAAAAAAAAAAAAAGATGGTTGGGACCAGGTTTGCTGGTCCAATAGAGCCTGGTAGAACCACTGAGACTATGGCCCCTAGCTGCCCTTCAGGTCTGGAATTCAACCCACACCTGTGGTTTCCAGCCAAACAAAGTACAGGCATGTGAGTTAAACATTTACCTCAAGTAGACACACACCCTGGAGAGAACAGTCATGGGAGAAGGAAGGGCTGCTTATGCACAGGGAGACAGCTCAGGGGGCAGGAGAGTATGGAAGGATGGACACTGGGAAGAGGTAACTATGGGGAGGAAGTGGGAGGGAAGCTGTTGCATTGTGGTAAACTGTGGTCAATGACATGAGACAAAGTGTGTGTGAACTGCTGTATGGAAAGTGAAATTTGCTCTGTAAATCTTCACCCAAATAAAAAAAAAAAAAAAACCATTGCTGTCAAGTCAGTTCTGACTCAGGCAACCTCACAACAAATCGTAATACCTAAGAAAATGATTTCCTAATATTATAACCAGTCTATATTTACATTTCCTTAGTTGTCTTCAAAATGTAGTTTTAAACTGATTTGTTGAGTTGGGGCCCAATCAAGGTTTATGGATTGCATTTTGTTGTTTTGTTTCTCTAGTCTGTTGTAATTTAAAATAGCCCTCTTTACCCCATGATACTGAATTTTCGAAGAGACAAGCCTTCTTACCTTGTAAAATGCCCCACATTATGACATTATGGATACTTTTTTTCCTCTTGGGCTATTCTTCCATCCTCCCTATTCCCTATTTTCCTGTAAATTGTAGGTAGAGTCTAAAGGCTTAATTCGATTCAGATTAAACATATTTGGGTAGAATACTTCATTAAGGAGCTCTGGTTGTGTAGTGGTTAAGGCATTTTGCTGCTAATCAGGATGTTGGTGGTTTGAATCCACCTGCCACTCTGCAGAAGAAAGATGAAGCAGTCTGCTTCCATAAAGATTTACTGCTTTGGAAACCCAGTGGGGGTCTCTGTGAGTTGGAATCGGCTCTGTGGCAGTGAATGTCTTTCATTAGGAGAGACATTGTAGCAGGTTATTGTACTGTTAGTGATACTAAGCTTGATGATTTGGTTAATGTTACTACCACTGTTGTTGTTGTTGTTGTTGTTGTTGTTATGTGCTATTGAGTCGGTCCCAACTCATAGCGATCCCTCATTGGGTTTCCAAGGGAATATCACTACGGAAGTAGATTGCCCAACCTTCCTTCCAAGGAGTGGCTGGTGGGTTTGAACCACCAGCCTTCTGGTTAGCAGTCAAGTGCCTTACCACTAGGTCATGCCAATTATGAAAGAACTTTTCCTCTGTAATTTTGTTTTTGACAAGCAAATGAAAAATAAGTTTCTATATTCAGGAATAGGAGATAAAATTGAACTGAAACAATTATTTTTTCTGGTTTGACAGTTTAATAATGTCTAAATTTTTTTTTTAATTATTTAGTGTTTTTTTCCTTTTTTTAAATTACAAGTAGTCTTTGATAATTCTCCTCTTACGTAATATGTGCTCAGAGGGAATACTGGAAGAGCCAGGATGCGATGGCATACTGCTTTCTATCATTTACAGTGGCTTTCGTGGATAAGAGGTATTGCTCATGTTTAGGCTTTCATGTCATCCTGTCGTGTGTACCTAGTATTGAGGGCTACCCTAGATGTTATTTTAGAGAACATTATTTGAGTCTAATCTTAGATGGTAGGCAGGCATTTCTTCTGCTCCAGAAGTTTTCATAATACACGTTGGATTACAGCGACATCTATTAAATGGCTTGCTATTGGATTCAACAGGTGGATTGTAGCTGCTCTGTTTGAAGAGCTGGTGTTCACCTGATGTTATATTTTGTTTACAATTAGTAGTCTCAGTTGTGCTATTTCATAGTCTAAAACTACATTGCTTTTTATGCTGTGTTATATTCTGTTAGGTTTTATTCAGGGAAGTTTAGGTATGCTGTGTTGTGATCAACCATGTGATTTGTTTTAGTTTGCAGTAATAAATGCATTTTTAGCTCAGAAAAACCTCTGCCATTGAAATTCGAAAGCTTTGTTGCTTTAATTCTGAAATTCTAGTCTTTGGCTCCTTTTTCTCGCTAAAACATTTTAATACCATAATTTTTAAAAGATATACTTCCTAGGAGCATAACTACAGTATATCACATTGTAACCTAACATAAAGCCAGTAATCTCCACAGCAGTTAACAACTGTATATTGTAATAAACTATATATTGTAATAAACCTGTTGCTGTCAGTCAGTTCTGACTCACAGCAACCCTTAAGAGAGAGTAGACTGCCCCTTACGGTTTCCAAGGCTGACGGCCACATCTTTCTCCAGCAGAGCTGCTAGTGGTTTGAATTGCCAACTTTTTGGTTAGCAGTAGAGTTCTTAACCACTGCTCCACTAGGGCTCCTTATCCAAGTAGTAAGACATGAAAAATACTCTAGGATTTAATGTTAGACTGGACCAAACTTTGTATATCAATATTAATTAGTTTAAACCATTCTGTACTAGATTTTACTTTTAGATGTGGAGCATTTTATCTATATAAATATTACAAGGATATTTTGTTTAGGGCAGATGATGTGTTTGTATAAAGCAATATGAACCGTCCCTTTTAAGAGTCAAATCTTATTTTCCATATAGCACTTAAATTTACCTTTATTTCTTATTTGACCCTACGACTAGCATTTCGTGTTCGAACTTTTATGTAATTATTTGTCACTCTAGTTTTGCTTTTTTAGTTCAGATGGTATTGAGTTTGGGCTTCATTTTATGCATGTGTAGAGATTTTTAAAGACTTTAAGCATGATAGTGAAATAAATTAGAGTTTTGGAAAGATAAAAAATTTGCCTACTTTTGTTGGATTTGGAATCATCTTGATGGCAGTGGGTTTTGTTTTGGTGGATTTACTTTAAAATTTGTTTGCTTTTATTTCTGCAGGGATCAAAGACATGTGATACAATGGTCTTTAATCATCCTGCTATCAAGAAATTTTTTGAATCACCATCGAGATCATCATCTCCTGCCAATCAGAGATCAGAAACACCATCAGCCAATCATTCAGAGAGTGATTCTTTATCTCAACACAATGACTTCTTTTCTGACAAAGACAACAACAGCAATATGGATATTGAGGAAAGATTGTCAAACAACATGGACCAGAGACCAAGCCGAAATACTGGAAGGGTATAGTTGGATGGACGGGAGGGAGCTAGTGGAGAAGGGAACCCATATTCATTAAGTATGTGCATATTGTCTCATTTAACCTTAATTAGAACCATAGTAAATAAGTTAATCATATCCCTTTTACAGAGGGGGAAACTGAGCCTCAATGAGGTTAAAGTTATGTATGCCAAAACATTGCCAGAACTGAGAATTAAACCTTAATGTTTATAGCTTTAAAACTCAGGGCTCCTGTACACTGTACAACCTTGATACCATCCATGTGTAGGTATGAGAGGAACCTCAAGGGGTTGGCAATGCTGTGACCTTGCTTGGAACCCAAGCTCTTTCCACTATGCATGTTTATTCTGTCAGGAGCAATAGCTCTTCAGCAGTTTCCTTTGTTGTTCTGGTTACCTAGTGCCACTCTGACAAGAATATACCACAAATGGGATGGCCTTAACAACAGGAGTTTATTCTTATAATTTGGAGGCTTTTAAGTCCAAGTTTAAAGTGCCAGGCTCTAGGGGCTGGGTGAAAGTCCCTCAACCTTGGGGTCCAGCTCTGCCTCTGCTCCTGGCCCACTAGAGCTAGAGGCGTTTCTTCACTCAGACAGCTTCAGGCTGCTGAGGCTGAGAAACCTCAAGGTTGACAAGTAAAAAGGCACAATCCCGATGATACCAAACCACATGGCAGGCCATTAACTAAAGTCCATTGTAAGTCCCAAGGTTGGCAGAGCATAGCAGGCTGCTGAGCAACAATACAGCTACATGCAGGGTCCAAGCGTGCCATAGGCTAGAGACCATTCCCAAGGTTTCTTCTTAAATACAGGAAGCAGACCACATACCCAAAGGCAGCTACTTAGCTGCTCCCAGTAGATTCCACCATGGAGTTGATTACCAGTCTTATGGGGAATACTGCATCCAGCTACCCAGCCACTCAAACAGGCCTAGCTAAGTTGACATACAAACATAACCATCACATTTGTAAAACTTTATATCTAAAATGCTTTAGTGGCTGGAGAAAAATTGACAAATAGAGTTGAAAACTGTATGTTGCTTTTGAGCCTGCCAGTTTGTTTTCTGAGTTCCCATGTCAAGCTACTCTGAATTTCTTGTATTATATTTGGCTATAGAGTCTTTATAGGAGCTTTGGTGGTATAGGGCCTAAGGCATTTGACTCCTAACCAGAAGGCTGGTAGTTCAAACCCACTAGCCACTCTTTGGAAGGAAGATGGGGCATTCTACTTTCATAGTGATACTGCCTTAAAAACCCAAGGAGGGGTGACTATGAGTCGAAATCGACTTGATGGCAGTGAGTTTGGTTTTTGGTTTATAGAGCCCTTATTGGGTTTGTAACAGGGGAAGGGAGACCCCAGATCCAAACAGGTTCAGTAGAGACACTTTTATCAAGCCTTGGACAGGAGAAAGACAAAACAAAAACAATCATCCAGGATTAGGGAAACCATCAGCATATACATAGTACATAAAGCTGAGTGGAGTCTGCTGAGTCATGGCCATGGGGCTAATTATATGTGATTGAAGAAAAAAGAAATCATTACAAAATCATGGTGATAGATCAATTTGTCACTGTTGCAGATGGGACTACAGAGGCAGGGAAAAGACCTTGATTGGAATATGCGTATAATTGAAGACAGAAAAGGGTTACAGGATTGGTTTTGGGCCTTGACTCCCTGGCTAGGTGGTGGTCCAGCTAGGTTGTGACTCATGACCATGCAGCCTGAGTCTTAGCCACAAGGTGGCTACTAAACAATACCAAGACCCCCAAATTAATTTAAATTAGAAAAGGATACACTCAGGAAGGTTCCTTAGTTCTTTGTGTGAGCAAATCAGTTACTTTTAGCCACCTTCTTCCTGAGTCAAACTGCCCCTCCCTGGCTTTGTCCTGGAACTTGTCTGTGCCTAGCCACAATGCTGGTTTAATGGTCAAAAAACCCAAATGGCATCTGAAACTTATGTCAAACCTCAAAATGGAGTTAGGGCTCCCACTGCAGACCACAAACCCAAGTGCTTCAGAATTTTTTTTTTTTTTTAATTTTTAATGTGATTTGGGTGAAAGTTTACAGAGCAAATTGATTTTCTGTACAGCAGTTCACATATACTTTGACTCATGACGTTGACTGCAGTTTCCCACAATGCAAATGGCTCTCTTCCCACTTCCTCCCCATAGTTACCTTTTCCCTGTGTCCTTCCCTCACTTTTACTCCTGCCCTTTCAGCTGTCTCCCCATGCATACACAGCCCTTCTGTTCTCCCATGATTGATCTCTCCAAGGAGTGTATCTACCTAATGTAAATGTTATTAGCTCATATGCCTGTCTTTTGTTTGGCTGGAAGCCACAGGAGTGGGTTCATTTCCAGACCTGACTGGAGGGGCACCTAGGGGCTGTAGTCCCAGGGGTTCGACCAGGCTCTATCAGACCAGCAAACCTGGTCCTTTTTTTTTTTTTTTTCTTTTAATGATTTTGAGTTTTGTTCCACATTGTTCTCCTACTGTATCCAAGATCTCCTACATAGCTCCCCCTCTGAGTGGTTGACAGTTGTAGCCAGGCACCATCTAGTTCTTCTGGTCTCATAGTTGTATAGGCTGAGGATCGCATGGTGTAAGAGCCCCTTGAACTAATTGTTTCCATGCATCTTTGCTTTTCTTCATTCTTGTTTGCTCTGGATGAGGGGAGCCCCATCATTGCATCTAGATGGCCACTTATAAGCTTTTAAGATCTTAGTCGCTACTCACCAAAGTAGGATGTGGAACAATGTTTTTGTGTAATATGTTATGCCAGTTGAGCTTTATGTCCCCTGTGACCATGGTCCCGAGCCCACAGGTCCAGTTACTTGTGCCCTGGTAGCTGGCTGTGGCCAAGAAGTGACTACAACCTTGTCCCTTGTCAGCTTTACTACACATGGTAATTATTACAGAACATGCCAATACACTTGTAGAAACATTGTCTGCTATCCCTATTCATGGTCATAGGCACACTTCCTTCTGCATAAACGTACCTAATTGTTCACAAGTACATTAGAATTTAAGCTCTAATACACATTAGACCAATGACTTTTTCTGGGCACATGTTCTGTGAGAGAGGACATTTCCAGGTTGCTTTACAAATCAAGGATGTGCTTTTCTTCTCTTTTAAAATTTTTATTTGTTTTTATCATCATAAATTCATATGTGTTCAATTTCCAGTTTGAAATTGGAAAATGCAGAAAAGTAAAGAATAGAAAAGTCACTCACAATGCCACTATTTAAAAATCAGAACTCTTAATATTTGGATTTACTTGTACCTTTCCAGTATGATTTCTGGGAAAATACTTGTTTTTTAATTAAATAAATAAGTCATACTGTTCATAGGATTTAGAAATTTAACATCTTTATGTAACAGATGCTACTATTTGTGTAACAAAAATTTGACACTTACTATGTGCCAGACAGTTTTCTAGACACTGTATAATAATAGGTACTTTAACCATCTGAGATAGGTACTATAATAATCCTTATTTTATTGATAAGAATTTGAGACAAAGAGATTAATTGCCCCAAATCATATATCAAGTAGATGAAAAAGCCAGCATTTAAACTTAATCTCTCTCCAGAGTCAAACTTTGAACCACTGGGCTTATATTCTCAGAAAAATGTTTAATGGTACAGAAATTTGAAAAGAAATTCAATTGACTCCTTTTCCCAAAGGTAATAGTTTCTTGTCTCCTTCCACATCCTATTTGCATATACAAAGCAGATGACTATTAAAACACACAGAATTATTGACTGTAAACATTTTCTATTACTACAGTATTTGTAGTAAAATTATTCTTTCATGCTTTGAGAGGCATTACAAGAGTCAAAAACAGTAACAGAAAAGAATAAATTATTCCATTCATGCCTTTAGAGTTTTGTGGTTTCTGGCCTATTGAAAATAACCCAGTTTAAATTGAAAATGAAACTTGATTATGTTTTCTTTCAGGACACTTCTAGTACTATTGACTCCCATAAAACAGATCAGCGGAATGCCGATCTCACAGGAGATGAGACGTCACGACTTTTTGTAAAGAAAACAATAGTCGTGGGCAATGTGTCCAAGTGAGTATTCAGTTGCATTGTCTCATTTTCAGTCACTCATTTATGTTAAGACTTTGCCATAAATATTCTTAATACCATAGTATTATAACACTGAAAGACTTTAGGGATTCTTTTTCCTAAGTTCTTCGTTATTTCAAAAGTAAACTAAGGTCCAGAAACTTTTCTAGGGTAATCTTGATTAATACTAAGCAAAGTCTCTATTTGAATCTAGATGTCTTGTTTTTTGTTTATTATTGCCTCTACTGCTTCTGTATAAGGCCATGTCGTCTGCCTTGTTCCACAAATGATAATGTTCACTCTAAAATGAGTAGACTTTGCATACTAAACAGAACTTAAAAGTACTCTTCTTTTATACTTTCATGTGTAGTTTGTAAAAGATGCTAATTATTAGGTATTTGAAAGCCAATAAGAATGGCCACTATTTATTTGAGGCACTGTCCTCAAATCTAACTTTCAAAGCCTCGTTTTTTTCATTGAGCTTATAATCTTGCACCTGTTATTTGTAGTAACAACTTGGGAATTTAGTTAACTCAGATAAAGAATATCTTCAAAAAGCAAGTATCATACTCAGTGGTAAAATACTGAAAACCGTGCATTCAGGACAAGGAGCAAGACGAGATACCTAGTATCACTAGTGCTGCTCAGCATTTCACTTAGATATACTGTTGTTTAAGAAAAAAAAAAGAAAACCAAACTCACTGCCTATCAAGTTGATTCAGACTCATAGTGGCCCCCTTTGGGTTTCCAAGGTGGTAAATCTTTACAGAAGTAGATTGCCCAGTCTTCCTTCCATGGAGTGGCTGGTGGGTTTGAACCACCAACCTTCTGGTTAGCATTCAAATGTCTTAGGCACTACAACACCAGAGCTGTAAACTATTGTTGTTAGGTGCTGTCAAATAGGTTACAACACATAGCATCCCTGTGTGCAACAGAAGGGAACATTGCCTGGTCCTGCACCATCCTCAAAATTGTTGCTATGTTTGAGCCCATTGTTATAGCCATGGTGACAGTCCATCTCCTTGAGGGTCTTCCTCTTTTTTATTAACCTATTTTACCAAGCATAATGTCCTTCTCCAGGCAGATGTCCCTCTTAATAACATCTCTGAAGTACGTGAAACAAAGTCTCACCATCCTTCCTTCTATGAAGCATCCTGGCTATACTTCTTCCAAGACAGATTTGTTTGTTTTTCTGGCAGTTCATGATATATTCAGTATGCTTAGCCAACACCATAATTCAAAGGCATTAATTCTTCAGTCGTCCTTATTCATGGTCCAGCTTTCGCATGCATGTGAGGTGATTGAAAATACTATGGCTTGGGTGAGGCACACTTTATTTATTTATTTACTTAAATACATTTTATTGAAATATAGTTTATATACAGTGAAATACACAGAAGGTTCACACTTTAGTCTTCAAAGTAGCATGTTTGCTTTTTAACACTTTGAAAAGTTCTTTTGCAGCAGATTTGCCCAATATAATACATCATTTGAACCACTGACCTAAGGACAATAGTTTTACCATTGTCAGGACATAAGAGAATGACTTGTTTTGACTTTTGAAAGGGAGGAAGCCAGTGCCACCTTCTTAGCAGTAATGAGTATGTACCAGAGGAGCCCAGAGTTCTAACACTGTGAAACCTAAATGAAATCAACCTAAAAGCTAGAGGTTCCCTAGCCCAGGAATAAAATATGCCAGTTTATTTCTACCTCATATACCCACCTGACAGGAAAAGTAAGTTTGATTTTTTTTTTAAAAAAATTGCAGACTGATAATTTAAAAACAAATCAGACTTAAAGGGAATGCCCCTTGGACTCTACCCCCAAAAACTGTTGTAGAAAGAATAGAAAAATTAACAACAAAAACTCATTATTTGGTTAGGCGGTATGGCTATTAAATGTTGTTAAAACTTTAATCTTGTTTTAAGTGGAAATTATTGTGTTATTAGAGTTTTGAAGGAAAAAAGAGTTTAAGTTCCTGCTTTTTTTTTTTTTTTTTTCCCCCTCCTTTAGGTATATACCTCCAGATAAAAGGGAAGAAAATGACCAGTCAACCCATAAGTGGATGGTATATGTCCGGGGGTCTCGTAGGGAACCCAGCATTAATCATTTTGTCAAGAAAGTTTGGTTCTTCCTTCATCCCAGCTATAAACCAAATGACCTTGTGGAAGTTAGGTAAACATATTTGAATTACTTAACCTAAGAAGTACACATTTATTGAAGTGGAAGAAAAGTGGATTTAACTGGAAACTGTTGTGTTATTAATAATTTACTCAGTTTTGGCTCTTGGCTACAATGTAATTTTAGCCTGTAATTCCCTATTGTAGAGTACTGCCTCATTGAACAGGCAAATACCAGAATATAACTGTGTTAGATTGGGTTCTCTAGAAAAACACAAAAACCAACAAAGCATATATATAGAGAGAGAGAGAGAAATTTATCCTACGAAAATGGCTCACAAACATAGAGAAGCCGGCAAGTCCAAAGTCCCTGGAGGAAACTTCGGGCTGGCAGCAGCCTTAGCTTCTGCAAGCGCAGGGGGCCGAGAATTTCAAGGCTGGCAGGCAGTACACTGGTTGTTGACTCCAACAAAGATGAATCCATGATCTCCACGCTGAGCAGTAGCCTGCTCACTCACGGAAGTTTGTAGTCCACATACCAGGGTTTCAATCCCTCAAGGAATGTCTCTCTTCCCAGGATGTCCTTGGATGTCTTGGAAGCAGGCCACACCCCTAGGGAAACTCCCCTTGGGCAGATTGGCCACTCAGAACACAGTCATCTGATCCCATCATGGGAACAACTACACAGAACTGGGGTCCAGCCAAGTTGACACACAGCTCCAACTATCACAGTCCACCCCTTGTCAACTTGACAGTTGTACAC